CTTTCAATAATTTTCCAAGCCGATCATCGAGGAGAAAAAAAAGCATTCGCGATTGGTAACAGTTTCGTATAGTCTGAAAGCAATCATGCCTGTAATCACACTTAATATTCCTGGGATGTCACAGTCTTACAGACAGGATGGATGTCCTGTTCTTCATCAGAGACACATCTTGGAAGGACCTCACAGTTGGTTTCTAAAGAAAATAGTGTCAGCTTTGCTACAGATCCTTCAGCTAAGCATGCTGAATTACTGAAATCTCTGCAAATGCACTATAGAAATTTAATGGACTTATGGTGTAATCTAAGAGCTTGACAGACTCATAGGGCAACACCATTTCAGTTATCAGCTTATATTTGGATATGGAATCCAGTTTTAAAATCATTTAAATTTATTCACTAAAGAACCCAATGTTGTAGGTCAGTAATTATCTTCAATCATTTCCAAATATTCGAGGGATACAGACTAGATGAGGGTTTGTTCTTGTGCAGTATAGCTGACATCAGAAACTGTAGAGCAAGAAAATAATCTAACTCCAGGGCAGACAGGCTCCTCCTTTCTCACAACCCCAGCATCACCATGATGGAACTTGTATATTTATTTGCTTATTTTCTTTTTTAGGGTAATGGAAAAGTTAAGCTTCAGCCAACGTAACTGAAAACGTTTCCTTTACAAATGGAAAGTCATACTGATTTTTGTCACAGAGAAAGAGAATATCACTTAAGATGCACTGGTCAATCCTCTCTTTATCCATTGCATTTGCATTAACTTAATACAATGCATGTTCATCCTGCAGAGACACCGAACTGACCGGCTGTTTTATCCACCCTGGTGGTCCTCATTTATCTGTCCCCTCTGGGTACAGCGCCATCTGGGATTGGTTGTCTCCACCATCTCCCTAGCAGGACCAGACACTTAAAAGCATTGTCTTGAGAATCTTCAAGTCCGCAAATGCACAGTAGCCACGAAGCAGTGCGGACATTTTCTTGAAAAGTGAATTAACTGATGATTATAAATGGCACTGCTGCCAAATTCCCACCAGTCGGCTGTATTATTTATTTTTTCAAGTTATTAACTTTCCCTAGAACTTTGACCTCCACCCACCCTCTCCCTGCCCTGCTCCCATTTTCTTGTTCCTTGTTCTACAAGCTATAGCTATTTCAGCAAATGTACTTCTCTACACATAAATAAATCTCCGTGCACAAATTTACTTGGCTGCAGTTTGTATAAACACTTGCGCACAGACGAACTTCACCTAACACTTGCTCAGGCCACGGCCTACTTCTGTACTTTTCCTCTTAGCGGTCAGTTGGTCACCTCCATACCTCGAAGTCACTGCCTTTAAAAAAAATTGACTCTGTGGGTTATAATTATTTGAGAATTGTGAGTCATTCCAGCTTTCTCGCATTGGTGTGTTGTTGATCCCACTAATCATTTTAGTCAGGACCCAAGCATGTATTCAATTATTAGGGGAATTGTTGGACATGTTGGGAAAACGGCACACAGTTGTGTTTCACACTTCGGTTTCTGAACAGATTAAACAAACAAGATATAACACATTATTTATTGAACTAGAGGCACTGACAGACTGTTACCTATAGACAGAACCAGGCTAGCTGTTTCCCCCTGTTTCAAGTCTTGTTGCTAAGCAAGCTAGCTCCAGCTACATAGCCTATTTACCGTACAGGCAAGAAACTCTCTCTCTAACTCTCGGCAAGAAAGCAAATAAACATATTTCCCAAAATGTCATTCTATTCTTTAAAGAAAGCAATTAGTGTTTGAATATTATTTGATTGTAACTGTGGGCAGCAGCATTACATAGTCAAGCATTACAACATGTTCTTCAGTTCATATGCAGCTACAGAAACATTTATTTGAGCTTAGTGTTGCCATCTTTACAGTAATTGCACAGCGTTACACGGCTACTGTCAGTTTACCCAGGTTTACTTTATGACTGTGGCTGGTGTGTGTGTTTTCCAAAGAAACATTTTATACATAACCCCTGAGGGAGGATAAACTAATGTGAGGTTTTAAAAAACAATGTATACCCTGAAAAAATAAACAGCAGCACTCAGATTGCAATCCGGTAAATCTCGCTGCCTGATTGAGTTCATGTTTATGTAAATTTTGCACTTATAGAAATAAATCTAATCTCGCTGCCATTTGATCTCAGTGCAACATTTAAAGGTATATTCCATTAGCCTCTGAGTACAAGGAGGTATGTTTACAGACTAATCTAAAGCTTGCTGCAGTACACCTGCTGGAGCTCGCAGAGGTGTTCAGTACATTTTACATAATTTTGGACATATAATTTGAAGATAATGTTTTAATATGCGAGCAGTGTTAAGAATATCTCATTTATCTGTTTAGTGGCCCAGGTTGCACCACCACCAACAGCGTCAACCCATGAACTCGTGAATGTGCTCCACATGTGGGACCTCTTAATGGAGTTTAGAGTATCACCACAGGCCTGAGTTATAACCTGCTCTCTGACTGCGGGACCACTTCCGCACAGCTTGCACCGCTTGCTCTTCATTTATAAAGCTAACAGCTTTTACAACTTGCAGTGACACAAGCCGTGATAACTCACTCTCATTGCTGTTTTTCCTTTTTCTATATTACCAACTGTAGGCCTCTTAGCTTGTGGAGGTGATGACATTTTATCTTAGACAAACACCCAAGTTTCCTTTCAGAGCACTGCTGCTGCTGTGCTCCAGGTCGTCGTCATGGACAGACACATAGAACCTTAGACCACATCTGTTGCATATGTTACGTGGATGTTACCAAACTTGAGCCTGTCTTTCTGTTAATTAGAAAAGAAAATACACATTACTTGGGCAGCACGGTGGTGCAGTGGTTAGCACTGTCACCTCACAGCAAGGAGGTTGCGGGTTCCAGTTGCCCCGACCTTTCTATGTGGAGTTTGCATGTGCTCCCTGTGTCTGCGTGGGTTCTCTCTGGGTGCTTCCTCCCACCGTCCAATGACATGCAGCCTAGGTTAATTACTGACCCTAAATTGTACTTAGGTGTGAGTGTGACTGGGTGTTTGTCTATGTGTGACTGGCGACCTGTCCAGGGTGTACCCTGCCTTTCGCCCGATGTCAACTGGGTCCCTGTACGCAGGATAAGCGGTTGATGATGGATGGATGGAATAAACATTACTTCATAGGTGCTGGATTTAATAATTGTTATTGTTGTTTTAAGAACAACTTGATTTTCATCCCTCTATTAAAGGAATTGTTTGACATTTTGACAAGTAGACTGTCTTGCCCCTGCAACCCTGTATGCAGGATAAGTGATTGACAATTGATGGAAGGAAGACTTTCTTGCTGAAAGTGAGTAGTATGAGATGGCAGCCTGCAGGCGATTAGCATAGCTTAGTTTAAAAACTGGAGGAAGGGGATAAGGGCTAGCTCGGCTCTCTCCCAAGTTCAAAAATCAGCCTACCAACACCTCTAAAACTCAGGAACACATATCTTGCTTGTTTAATCAGCACACATTATGACATTTGTGGATTTAGTGGTTGTAAGACGTTTAGATTTTTTTGAACAGCTAATCCAACAGTGCAGAACATTTGTGTCGTAAATACTGCAGCTGCATCGCGCTACTGGCCATACAATCACAAATTGCCATTTTAACATTTCTGTTCTTACTTCCTAAGCTGAGTGGTTCTGGTAGGAGGGTTTTTGAACTTCGGACATAGCCAGGTGAGGTGTTTCCCCTTGGATCCAGTCATTATACTATGCTAGGTTAAGCTAGCCACCTCAGCTCCACCTCTGGCTCCAACACAGAGAGATAAGAATGGGATCAATCTTCTAAATCTAGATGAGGAACAAAAGCAAATAAGTACATTTCCCAAAATGAAATACAGTGTCAGAAGTTTTCCACAAGCATTTCTCCCACTGGATGCTTTTGTTCAGCATTGATTCAATGCCATATGGTTTTCTGTAATTGCCCCTCAAATTAAAAAGAATTAACTTAGCCATATTTTCTTGTGACATCGGGAATTTAATCCTCACTTAGCCTGTGGTTACCACAGCCAACTGACATTTTGATGTCCAAGACACAGCTGCATAAAGTTAAATGGTACGTGGAGATATCTGCAAGGACTGATTCATGATACCTTCAGACTAAAATAACTTCCAATTGTCTGTGAATTGTGGACTGGCTTCCTACAGATGTAACAATGCTCACACATGAACTGAATGGGCATGAAAACAGGATGACACCTGACAACCTTGAGACAGAAATATGTCAATGTTGCATGGAAGTGTAAACAGGATTTGACATGTTCTAAATGAAAGAAATTGTTGTCATATAATGCTAATCACCTTAGGCAACAGTAAGCAGCTTTTTACTCATGGCTGGAGCACTTCCCATTCACCAGTTATTCCAAATATAACTTTCTTCACAATAATACAGTTGGGGAAGGAGGAATAGATTCATGGTTTGTCATGTCTAATGAAAGGAAGAAAGGGTCTGGATGTTGAATACATCCTGTTTGGGCGTGCTGTCCAGGTGGTCCAACCAAGGGGGTAAGCCAGAGATCGGACAGTGGAGCCGACCAAAGCCTGCATGGAGGGATCCATGTAGGCCCAAAATTTACGTCAAAACCCTGTGATACACCATCGCACATGAGAGACATAACCGTGTTGCTTAGATTATAAACTCTTAGCAATCAAAAAAAGCCTATTCAGCCATCAGTGATGCTGCGTTGGTGTTTGGCAGATGAGCCTCGTAGGTGGACGATCCGAGACAGACACTGGGACATAAGACTTTTTGTTGGTGCAGCTACCAGAATTACATCATTAAACCCCAGTTATTCTGCGTGATCATGCGCAGTAGATGGTGATGCCAACAGGAAGTAGCCCTGTAGTAGTATTTTATTGGTCCAAAACTGGCTTCACTGCTCTCCATTCAAATCAGCAGAGTGGCTTTGTCCAGTGATATACTGTCTATGGGTCCAACATGAGTAAAATGATATATTATTATATTCTTATATTTGTTTTAGTATTTAAAATATGAATTCAGCAACAGTCAAGGTTTTGAGCTACATCGTTAAAATTTAAAAAAGATGATGCATAGATGAAGAATAAATAGTCAAGAATTACAGTGACTTTAAGAACCTTTGGTCTCCCTGTAGGGCTCTAACTATTGTTAGTGATATCCTTCAAAGTAAGGGGCTCTCTAGCTCTCCATCTTCCCCTTCGAGGCCCCACTTTGGAGGAAACCAAAGCTGCCGCAACAATGATGAATGGACATCATTAATGTCGTTCATCTGTTTACCTTTTACACAGCAATCTGGGGAAATGAGGGGTCAACAGCAAAAGGGAAATCTGCTTACTTTGGCACTTCAGTTCCTGAGAGCCACACATTTGGTCTTCACATGACATGACACTGCAGAAGGTGAGGTACTCATTTATTCGACCAGCGGACTTTCCCTCAATTGTGTAGCCTTATAACAATACCCAAAAAGAGTTTAATTGACATTTTTATCTTTATGTTTAATTTCTGGGTAAGTTAATGATTTCAGACCTTCTTAATATTCATGAAGAAACATCATGTTTTTCATCCCTGATCACCCATCTATCTGCAGAGTAGGCTTGAAACTGGAACCTATATTTCTCATTTAGATAATGATTTCATGGAGATTTCAAGAGGCATCACTTAAATAGATAGTATCTTGTTTTAATAAATCTTTGAAAAGGCGGACATTGAATCTAAGCAGGGATGACACTTGGTTGACGCTACCATTCTTTGTGGTTATAGCTAAAGCAACGAGGACCTCAAGGTTGTTTCATGATGTGGCAGCACAGAGATCCATCTCCCCTGGAATAAGCTATCACTAGAGCCAGGTTTGCTTGTCTTGTCAGCGTGTATTTAGAGTGCAAACAATTTGTGTGATCTTGTTAGGCCCTATCAGCCAGTGAACCTTTAAAAACACCAGATAGATCACTGAGCAGATGGCAAGACGGCTGTAAGAGTCTGGCTCTGTCCTCTGAGCAAACAAAGTCTGTGCCACTGCTTAGCTCTTAAAATATTTGAAACAAAACATGGCAATCACTTGGACTATGTCAATATACAGTAGCTTTACTTTTGCTTATGGTTGGTCAATTTCACCACTTAGAAGGCAGAAAATGGCTTTAATCTTTGGACCATCTGTACTTGCAATACTGGCACAATAAGATGGACAAATAGACGGACAGAAAAAGAAGATTGATACTGTTGTAAAAGAAAACTTTCACCACCCAGACAATGATAGCACAGCTAGAAAGGCAAGGCTAAAACAGAATAATTGCAGAGTCCAGTTCCCTGAAGAATCACAGTTTGCTTTGCTTTCATTCTGTCCTCTCCCTGAATTTTGAAGAGCACCCATCACTGCCATGTAGAGATACAATTTAGGAGATGACTACTGTGATATTGCCCAGCATAATTAGAGGAAATGTCTTTCACAATCCCTGACTGTTTGCGCTTACTGATGATCTGCCTGGGCTGATGGCATTGGGGGGATGTCTCACTCTGCTTAAAGTGTCTGAGATGTTTAGAAACAACACACTCCTGAGTGTGGTCTGTACAATGGCAGGAGGCAGAGGAGCTATTCAGCACTGTTAAGGAATGTGTGGAAGCCCACAAGGAATCCTTTCGTTCCAGGGTTTCTCCAAACAGAAGTCCCACACAAGATTAACTCTATGTGTCAACAGCAATGGAATCTCCCATTCTGCCTCTGCAAACTTAACTAAATACTTAACCCTCAGAGGAAAATCTCTGTGCATCCTGGAGCCTGGGCCAGCAATGAGTATACCATCCGTGTCACCAGTGAAAAAGTCTAAATGTTTGCCCTGTCTGAATAGCTCTTACACAAAGCCCTGAGTACTTAAAAGAGGTTTCTCAGCGAGTCTGTGTATATACTCTGTGGTGTAAATCACCTGCCATGTATAGTCTAGAATTCAGAAATAAAGCATCAGCAGTAGCATCACAATCTCTGTAATAACCATGTACAGCATCGCATAAATTACATTACAAACTTAAAGGGGAAGCGCGAAAAAATCTCATCAGTGAGTACTGAGAAGGCAGAAAAAGCAGAGCAGAGAGAGAGAAGGGGAGGAGATTTTAATAGCCAGTATGTGAAAAGGTAGTGTGGGGCAATTAGAGGCAAGTGTGTTTTTCTGCCGACGGGAGCTCAGAGCACGACTGAAAAACTGTTGGTGCAACTTCATGCATTTTGGTTGACGATTTTAGACGCAAGCTCCGTTTTTACTTTCTGCACGGAATGTGCTTTGTCAAAACTGGCTGCCACTATTCCAAACTGCATGCATTATGGTCGTTTAAGGCTTTGTGCTTTGATTCAGTTGGTTTCAAATGTGATATAAAATGATTTTCGTTTTTGACATCATTGTTCCAGCACCTCCAGTTCGCCTCTGGGGCCTTATTCATTAGTTAGCACAATCTACATCATCAGGTTACACGCGGCAGCGGAGCTACGTGACTGCACTCATTCTCAGCATTACTAAACCGGGAGTAGATGACTTGGAAATTCCCGGTCAGCATCTTTTTTTTTTTTCTTTTCTGAGTAGTTTTGAACTTTTGTTGGATTGTTTCATTGTGAGCATCAGGAGCCGTCACCCCCTCTCCACTCGCAGACATCGCGAAATGAAACTGTGTTTTGTCATCCAGACTGCGGTGGCGCTTCATCTGCTGCTCTCACCTGCACAGGTAGGACATTAAACTGCAGTTAAACTTAATTCTCAGCCAGAAGTAATTTCACTCAACGTTAGACTCATCAAGTAAATATTTCCACAGTCCAGTTTGATTATTTGGGTCTACTTAAGTAATAATGCAAATTTTAATTGAATATAAAATAATGAGCCTATTGTTAGATATGTTAGTCTGGCACCAGTACAAAATGGTTGAGTCAGCAGAAGCCTATTGATGAAGTGATAATAAGCCATTGTCCATATGGCTTTGAATGAGCGCCATCGTGCACAGTTCATTCATAAGATGGAACGTGACAAACTGCATCACTCTGCCTGTGGAACACATGATGCCAAGTGACTCACTCTTTCATTTGGAGAAGCATACTAAGCTTATAATTAGAGCCGCATTATACTTTAAAGCCCAGTTTCACAGGCATGGATTATTATTCCCAGCCCTGTATGGTGAGGCCTTTTTTTCTTTTCTTTGCAATGTAGATTTCCATCAAGCAAACACCTGATTGAAAACTCTTTAAAATAGGAATCAACAATAACATTTTGAAAGGCAAAGCCTCTAGTGTTCAAACTTTGCAGCTGTATAAGTAACAGATCCTGGCGAGTTAGCAAGCCGCTTCAGTCTGACAGACTGAAAGTGTTGGCAGTGTATCAGGTAAAACTGGCAAGAAAGTTTGCAGTCTCCAGTTCTCTTATTTTCATTTGCACCCTTTCAGTCCTGTCTTGTTTTATCCCAACACAAATCTCCATTTTTAAGGGTACCTGCAGTGTGAATAATTACAATGATAAAGATGTGTGTGTGTGTGTGTGTGTGTGTGTGTGTGTGTGTGTGTGTGTGTGTGTGTGCAAAAAATCTATTGAAACTTAATTTCAGGCCAGTCATATCAATGTCAGAATAGCAGTAGATTAGCACAAAGCGGTTCTGTTCTCTGTTGCCTGACCTTTTAGTCTTATAATAAAAATGTGCCAGAAAAGGACAGAGCTGAAACTGGAGTGAGAACTCATTCAAAGCTTGGGTAGAAACACTTGTAAGAGGATGTGCCATAGGACAGCAGGACTTGGGCCAACTAAAGCTCAGGCTCTGATTTCCTTCCAAGGTGGCGGATGGCTGGCAGCTATATCTGATGGCTCTCCTGTTTAATACAAAACCAGGCCAGGCATCCATTCACTGCCACTGTCACACTGCATATGCTGCTGCTACCTGCTGAACTACTGCAGTTTCCCTTTTGCCAGGCTGCAGTCCACATATAGAAGTTGAAGCACCATGTCCCACCAGATTCTCTAGCTGGAGACTTTGCAGCTGTTGCTGAGTTGAGAGTGAGTGGGAGAGGCATGGGATCTCCACTAATCCTCATAATCAGCTCATGGGCTGCTCAGTCAAAATAGGAGTGACAAAATCCAGGTCCCTCAACATGTAGCAGGTTAAATGGCCCTCTACTGCCCATAAGACTGACAGCAAATGTAAACAATACAATTCTGAGAGTAACTGTGCTTGTTGTTTCTGAGATCCATCTCTAACCCTTCAGTTGCCATTGTTTTATGATGCAAGATCAGCTTAAAACAGAAAGTGAGTGATGCTTTAGTGCAAAGACGTGCCAGATTTAGCCCTAAATACGCATAAGGAAATAAATGTCTCACATTTTTAGCAGACTAGCGACGTGCCAGCAGTCCTTTTCAAGCCAGAGTGACAAAATGAGACTCTTATGGAAGGTGTCTGTCCTGCCAGCTCCCACAGTAAACTGTCAGACTGGTGTACCAAAGTGGAAAAAGCAAACATTGGCCATGTGGTTGGGAATGCCATTTATAAGTGTCCGGCTTTGGGATTCTCTCCCCATGAATATGTTCCACTAATTGATAATGATGATTTCTCATCACTGACGCAGCTGTGACATGCCGTCAGCAGCCTTGTGACTCATGCAGTCAATCATGTCTACTATGAAACTTGGAATGGCCAAGCGAGGGTGGGGTTGACTTCAGTTGTGCTTCATGATTCCGGTTTAGTACCATGGATTTACAGCATAGCTCAGTGTATGTTTGTGTGTGTGTGTGTGTGTGTGTGTGTGTGTGTGTGTTTCAGTATGTCTGATGAAACAAAGCAGATGGCTTTTTTGTGTCCCCTGGATGCTGTTTTTTATTCATGTCTTCATATTGACTTGAGGTTGTAAGATTCTTATAATAGTACATTGTAGCAACCCAACCATTTTTGGCCTGTGACCTCTCAGACCCCCTAGACATACAGCTGCATAAGTCAGTAGTTTATTACCATGTAAACCTAAGAGGGTTTTTTTTTTCATTGGGGATAGGGGGTGAGTGGCCTTTATTGGGCAGTGACAGTGTACAGACAGGAAGTGGAGTGACGTGAAAAGAGACATTGCTGATGTAGTAAGGACTTTAATCACTATGTGTGTTAACAGTACCAGTAGTTTATAAATGAGCCGTGAATGAGCCATTACCACTACTAGGCTTTAATTTACCAACATGTGCAAAGCTGGTAACATATACATACTGTAGCATGCCATGATTGGAGTTACTGTTAAAATTATATATATATATATATGGCAGCATCATAATTGCTGATACGACTGATAGAATTCATGTAGTCTCAATAACTGTGGTCTTTCTGTTGATATGTACAGATCATTCTTTTGTCAACTGTCCTGGTCCCTTACATATATGGCTCTTGATAGATGGTGGAAGCACCTGGGTTTCCCTTTCAAACAATGGTGGCCTCTTGGTCACCCAGTCACTAAGGCAGTGAAATGGAGAAATATAATATAACTGCTGTCCACCGGTAATTTTGTTCACATTCCTTGACACTCTCTATTCTCCTGTTCGGTGTATTATTGGTTCTTCCTGTGCATATAATCCACATACAGCATGTACAGATTTTTGTGTCTGTGTTTACACTACAACACTGAATATCACTGTTTAGATTTTGCCTGTGATTCATTCAGCAGATTGAAAGAGCTTTGCCAAAATCATCAGTGAAATCTTGCATCAACACAACCAAACCTGACTGACACAGTCAGCGTTTCCAGGGAGAAACACCTTAAGTGCTGTCGACGTGGACTGCTGCACATCTCAGGATTCAGCTCTAAAAGATAGTTCTGTTATATTAAGAAAATCAGTGAAGGATAAGAATTATAAGCCTCTTTGGTATGAGATTATGAAATTCTTTGTCTGTTTTAAAAATACAGTATTTTCTAGGATGAAATGATAAAAACCAAATATAGGAAAAATAGACTCATCACCACATCACCAGTGAAGCATGCTCCTGATGTCTTTGAGCAAAAAACAAAAAAGGGAGTGAGCCTTATTCTCTTGTATTTGTGTGTTTGAGCACGTGACATTACACAGGTGTTTCCTTTACGTCATCACCAGCAGCAAAACAATACTTGAGTGTGACCATCTGTGTCGCCCACATGTGTCTGTTCATGGAGATTTGTCCTTATTCTTGTTCATAACTAGCCAAGTGTAGATGGCACGGCATCACATTTCCAGTTTCAATACAGCTAAATATATCAACAATAAAAAATGTGTAGGTTTCAGTTTCTCAGAATCGAAGTGTCGAAGTTTTTGTTAAGATGCAGCTGAGTTATCCACAATCAGACATTAATGTTCTCCCTTCTGTCTGTGTGTCTGGCACATCTTTCTAATTCAGATGTCTGCATACTGGGCCATGCAGTGACTGAATGGGCTCTTACAGTATTTGCGTTGTTGTGGTATTACTCTCTAGTTGTAAAGCCCTGGCCCAAGGGAGGGCTACAATCAGGAAATATGGATTTCTTCTTCCTTCTGCGGAGGAGGAGGAGCGGTGGTGCTCGGGGGCAGCCGTCTGCTCAGAAGGCTTTAATCTCCCATCTGGATGTAATTTAGTGTGGTTTACACAGGGAGAACAGCGTTTACTGTAATAGAGACCACAATTACCACCGGTCAGTCTTATCTCAAGACCTGTGCTGTGTGTGTGTGTGTGTGTGTGCATGTGTGTGTATGTTTGCAAACAGGGTGCATTTTTTATACAGTTGTGTGTGTTTGTGTGTGTCTTCAGGGGGACATTTGTGCATGCATTAATGGACCTATACTGGGGAAATTCTGTTTATCTAAATCAACATTTAAATGGACTCTTACCTCTCCCTTGTCACATGACCCTGTTTTTGTGTTTTTTTTCAAAATTTAGACAACTACTCCGAGAAAACATTGCTTGCTTATAATGTGTCCAAACTGACTGCAGAAGACAAATTAATAATATTAAATGATGTAATTATCTTTATCTTAAAAAAGAGGTAAAGTGCCAAACTTTCTTAGCCAGGTGCAGTGACTTCCGTGATCCTTGTTCACTGTGAGGCCAGGAAACCAGCGGAGACTCCAGGAAGTAACTGCTCCCAGCCAAAGGGACGGCACATAAAACCCCATAAAACCATATCTTGTCATTATTGCACTCCCATTTTTGTTTGGATTTAACAAACAGGATATAACATGTCAGTTAATGAGATTTAGAGGTGCCGGGTGGATTTTGTCACCTTTGGACTGAGCCACGCTAGTTGTTTTCCCCTGTTTCCAGTTTTATGCTAAACTAAGTTAAGCTACGATTACCACCTGCTGTCTACAGATGAAGTAGATATGGAAGTGGTATCAGCCTTCTCATCTAACTCTCAGCAGGAAAGCTAATTGAACTATAAGGAAACACAAAATAGGAATAGTTTTATTTATTGTTATCATACTGAACTTTCAAATCAAGCTCACACATTAGTTTATTTATGCTACATTGAGGCTTTGAATCTGTGTGACACCCCTAAAAGTGTGTCAGTTTTCTAATCTGTGAAATAACTCTGCATTTCAAAGGCTCCATATACCCACAGAACTTGAGAAATTGTTGTGGCACATTTACCACATGCTCTCTTGGTGTTTTTGGTAGTGCTCTATGATCACAAGCCCTGACCTGACCACCCTAGAGACCCAGCTGGAGACTGTCAGACCTGCAATGGCACAGGTGTCATTGTATGTTCACCCACCGCGTGTACACCAAAGAGAACCTGGCTTTCTTTTGTAGTGGTGTAGAATAGATACAGTGACCTGCAGGCCCTGTAAAAGGCCTGTGAGAATTAATGTCACGGTCATGGTGTTGATGATGTGGAATCTGGTTCTTGATAAAGGATGGATGAGGATGATCAGTGAGGCAGGGAGGTAGCTCTGTTTCACTCATCTAGCTGTCTCAGTGTTTGTATTCACTTGTTCTGCTTTAGTGCCCTGTGTGCTGTGTGGTCTCGTCTTCACAGACAGACCAAGAGCTTGTTTTCATTGAGCTGGAGATGCAGGTGCTATATTGGCTTGGGTCATGGCTGGGATGTTTGCCAGCTTTGCTTTTTAAACACGTTAAACATCCCTTCTGCATGCATCTCCCAAATCACCAGACTCTGTTCAAGTGCAGATTTAGTTGACAGAGATTCCCAAATCACAAGCCTGCATCTCATCCATGGTCTGTTTATCCACACTGTCACCCTTACTAAAAATGGTTAAGTTTGAAAGTAGACCTTTTTGGAAAGCAATGTTAATAATGGCATGGTGCCCAATCAAGCTGGGATCCTTGTTTTCCAGAGTCATGAATAACTGAAGAAGGGGTTTCCGAAAACCAAGTACCAGAGCACTCCTGATTACCTTTAAACTATAAAATGTGTCCATATTTCACGTTTCAGTTTCCCGTTGCTATTGATTCTGTTGAAGGTCATTGCCTATTACAATCCTCAGTCAGTTGACTTAACTTGAAAGTGATCAGTTTTAATTTGTCAAAGATGATGAAGGAGCCTTGTTAGAAGACACTATAGATGTAGCAACATCAGTTTACACTTTTTACTACTCCACAAATGTTTGTGCGCTAACTGGTAGTCAGATGTTCATGGTTTTACATGTTCATACATTTTTTTTCCTCTAATAGAGGATTTGAAACTGAAACCTCTCTCCAGTTCCAACTACTGCAATTATAGGGAAGTTGTTGATTGGGATAAGTGAAAACACAAGCACATTTCACTCAGTTTTGAACAGAATAATCTGAACATTTTGGCATTTTCAACCACAGTTCCTCATTTGTCAGTTGGAGAGTATGATGTAACACCTCCAACCTAAATGACCATATTTTATGATACTCCATGTTTACTATGGATATATTCTATATATATCTTTTTGGCTATTACCCACAGTACCTGCTGTTGAATTGTACCCCCCCACCCTCCAGCATGACCTTCAAAGTTGAAAAATCTTTTAAGACCATTATGCTGGGTCCCCATCATGTTTTGTTTTTGCACCCTACGCATGCTGCCCTTCCTCTGACAGATGGAGTTAAGCAAAGAGGTTAAAGATGATGCAGTTCAGCTGTGTGGGAGTGGAGAGTAATGAGGCCCGGAGCCTCTGTGGGCTGACAGCAGGAGCCCAGGGACACAACAGGTCCTATGATCTGACCCCGAGGATGTAGCAAACTCTCAACCAGCAGCTTACAAACTTTCACTCAAGACTTCAGAAACATAGGAGACTAGTTTTTAAAGCGGCTTTGCAATCAAGCACGTCGACAGTTTCATTACTGCTATAGATGTTTTAATCTAACCTCTCTTACTCAGACTAACTGCCTCTCACTCTGCAAAGCAATCTGGTCAAAGGCACGAGATACACTGCGCTGCTTAGCAAAAGGTCTCTGAGAACCAGATGTCAGGAGCTGAAAAAAAATTGTACAACCATGGGACAGTGACCAGAGTGGGCTGTAGGAGCATGACCATGATTACATATCCACTGTGTTAATTATCCAACAAGAAGGCTAGTACTGAAGAGATTAGACAATTAACTAATCTTGGAATCATTTAAGTGTCAAGTTAAAATGATAATTGCCAGTTACAGTAATGCTTAATTGCAATATTTTCTAATTAAGTTTTATGCTGTTGGTCAGAGTAATGAGCAATGTGAATGTACCACTTTGGGCATTTTTTATGTTTATGACATTTTAATGATTATGTAATTTATTAAAAAAATATAACCCATCCAATATTTAATAATGTTAGTTGCAGGCCAGTGATTCATCTCATTCCAGCTTTGAAAGAGATCAGGGAAACTTCTGTGAGCTGCCCACTTTTTAACTCACTTTAAAAAGTGCCATATCACTCATCCAGCTCCTTCGTACTCTAGCACCCACTCCATTTTTTCCTATGTAAATGTATGTCATATAGATTTTCCAAAGAAATTGAGATAAAATCAACCTCTAGCCTGCAATGGATCAGTCATAGATGTTTTTTATTTCCTTCCACGGCTGCTTTTGTGGCTGTTCTTTTGTGCATTACCTAGCCCTTGATGTTTAATCTGCCACCAGCTTCAATATATTTTGTGTAAGATTGTAGAACTCAGCACAGTGGAGAAATTTTTCTTTCTGTGTGATGGTATAAAGGAATGTTTTTGTTTTGTTGGTGTTGTTTTTAGTTAGAACTGGCATGTGGCTTTTTAAATGATTTCCCATTGTTGTATTTACCAAAGCCCAGATGTTGTACCTACAATGTAGAGGGCACAAAGTAGAGGTATTCCGTTACTAGCCAAGAGTTGAAGTATTTATAGTCAGGTCAAGTCAAGTCATGTTTATTTGTATAGCCCTTAATCACAGCTAGCTTCAAAGGTCTTAACACCCACTTTATGAAAACAATAAATAAAAATATCATACTGCAATGTTAGACCCTCTGAGGACATTTAAAAAACTCCCTGAAAAAGCTCATTTGGGAATGAAGTAAAAGAGACTTTTGAGGGAACTACTCAGAAAGCAATCCTGCTTCTGGGATTTATTAGACACATTTATACACATTTATTGATGCAAAGCAGTTCTCCCTTTCCACCAGAGATGAATTACCTCTTTGTCACCATTGATCACTCAGTCATACTGTAAGTGCACAAGAAGGATGGAATGGCTACGTGAGGATCTACAGGCAGCCTTCTATAATCTGGCATCTTGTCGGCAGCTCAATTCTCTGTTCTCAACCACAGGAGGCTCCAAAGATGCTTCCTCACCATGTCAAGGCTTAACCCATGGCCAAGGTCAGAGAAATTCTCCACACCTCACCACATTCTGAACAAGCAACTGAGACCAGAGCCAAAAAGCCCTTGTGATGTGGAGCAGCCTCATGAAGACCCATAGACATGAAGAGAGAGAGCAGATCATGTGCCAATTAACACTGGAAAAAGGATTTAGTTTATCTGCCTGGTATTGCTAGAGAGGATGAAAAAAAGAATCAATTTCCCAGAGAGTGGGAGTGACTTTTAACAATAACTTAAACTAAATTGTGACTTTTCCATGCTGCACATGAAGCAGATTCTGCTGGCTTATATCCTGCGGCGCTGTTCGCTGACACAGTTCGATGTACACCACTCTATAGAACAATTCCTCTGCCGGAGGAAACAGCTGTAAATTTTGGCCAGATGACCAGCCACTTTGGAGAAAAAAGGGAGATGCCTGAACATATCCCCTAACACAAGGAGGACTGAGTGGCTGACTGGAAGCTCTTGTGTATTGATATGATGTCTGTCATACAGTACATTGTGTTGCAGATAAGTCAGATCTGTCCCGAATACACAAACTTGCCTGCCATTTATCTCAGTGACAGTTTTACAGGAACCTCTGAAATGTTTGTGTGAGTGTGAATGCATCATCATCATCAAAGCAGGACATTCCTCGTTAATCACATTGTTTGGAAGAAACGGCAGAGTGTAGCACTTTGCTGACAGATGCTATCCTCACCCTCAAACTCATTTTGGTTCATAACAGGAAGTAGATGCACTTTAGCAACAGACAGAGGATGTAAAAAGCAATATTGCTTATTGCTATCGTTTGGGAAAGTCCTTGTCTGTCTGTTTGCTATTACATTACAACTTTTGGTCCAACACTTTCAGTAAATCAGTGTGAACACAGACAGTGTTACAGTATAAAAGTCTTCAGGTGTGTGTGTTACATAAGAATTGGAATGTGACCAGTGAAAGAAACAGTGATGAGGGGAGATTGCGGAAGCAGGTTGTCTGCCGCCGGTCCAGCTCTTCTGCTTGAGGGTATTTTATCAAATGTACATTTCCCTTCCTGAGTTGGAGTCAACCAGAGGTTTTGTGTTTTCCCAGGCGGATGAGAAATGCACTCTTGTTTATCATAGGATGATGGGAAAAAATCAAGACGGAGGGGGAAACCATCAATGGGAAAATAAATAGAGAGCTGAATTGTACACCACAGGAAACAGGTTTTGAACCTAAACAGTTGGGCACACAGAGGAACGTGATATATATGAGAGACTGGATCTGCTGCTTGTCAGAAAGACTTTTTCTGCAGGGTGAAAAACTGAAAAAAAGGTGTGTGATCGTCTGCTTTATTTCACTGTAGTCCCAGCTGTCACCACTAGAGGACAACTATACTTTAGTGACTGATATAGGTAATTAATAGCAGGCTGATGCTGTCTTTATAAACAGGATATTTTGTATTATATGATCTACTTTGAAAGGTGTGTATTAAAATAGTAGGATGGTGGAGGCATGTGAAACATGTGTGAATTCTTCTGCCACCATGTTGGCCATTATCTGTGTTTCGGTCCAACCATTTCATTTGGACGTTCAAATAAAAGGAATAAGGGTTTTACACTCTAATATGTAGTCGCAGCAAACCTAGATTAATAATCAATCAATTTTAACCATTTTTTTTCTGTTTTACAGAGTCTACCCTTGTCAAGCATTAACAACACAACTCAAGGTAGGACGTTCTGCTCGTTTTATTTCTGAAATCTTCTGTAAGTGTTGGAGATGTAATGTTAATATTTTACAGCAAGAGAGTAAACTACTTCCAACTAAAGTACTTCCAACTGTTCTGTCAAGCCATAGTTTACAGTGTATGTGGTTGAAACAAGAGTCTCATGCAAACCAAATGAATCGATGCCAGCCCTGACAAAAAACAACTTTGAAAAGAAGTGTATTCATACAAACTGTGTTTGTCATGCACTGTTGAGCAATTTGAATGGCCAAGCTCTTCAATCTTGCATGCAAGTTCTTGAATCTTGCATGTAAGTTCAATTAATTTGATATGAATTTAGAGAATGGTAGGGCATGTCTGGACTAGCAGGGATTACTCAACTGCTTACCTTCCCCCCTTATTATCCTCTCCCTCCCTCACATCACTATAAATAAAAGCCACATAATGCCAAAAATATATTGAAGACTTGTAGAACTTGCAGCCAGAGGATCAGAGCACATGTAGCAGAAAAGAGCAGATAAGCAGCAGACATACAGTCAGCTCAAGGAGCTGTAACTGGCCAATGAACTGTCCCTTTGTGCTGTAAAACATTATAGTTCGTGGCCTCATCTCCCTACCGTAGATGGGTCCCCTGCCGTCTCCTTCCAGCCTATCTGCTTTTATAAACAGCTGTTGTGATGTCAGGCTCCATTCGGTGACCCTGGGAGTCACTGCAGTCCCAGAGGTGCCTGTGGGGCAGCTCAGCTCCAGCTTCAGCAGGGTTCTGTTCATGGCCATGTTTCCAGTGTTTGTTTTCTCTTCCTTCTCTGTTTGTTCGGCCATAGTCGTCCCTGTTCCTCCCCCCACAGACTGTGCAACTGGGATACTTTCACACATATACCCCCACAGGAAAGCATACTGTACATTAAACAAACATTTTCACTTCAAAATGAAAACAGGATACTTGCTCGCGTATCGCAACTGGGTTTATGTTTCTGTGTACATGGTATAGGGTTGCCATTGTTGGATTATTGAGGTAATTACAGTTAGCCTACATCTTTTTCTGGCAGTTCTAATTAAGCTTCACAAACACAAACTCAAAAAAGATCGATGTCGATTGCACTCTCACTGTGAAAGTAATCTACTGTAGAAAGACAGATAGTTGGACAGATAACAAAACGGTTCTTAAACAAATATACATTTGTCCTCTCAAAGCAAGATTCCTCATAAGAAGCCAACTTGTTTACAACTGCAAAGTGGGCCATACTCAGCCTCCTATTCTCATTCATAGTGTTGATGTTCCAAGAAGTGTGGGGTCGCAGCTTCTGCCGAACCATTGAGAAGCTGGTGGAGGTGGTTCAGGAGTACCCGTCAGAGGTGGAGCACATCTACAGCCCCTCCTGTGTGCCACTGGTGAGGTGCGCAGGTTGCTGCGGGGATGAAAACCTCGAGTGCCATCCCACCCACACCATAAATGTCACAATGCAGGTACAACAAGCACACTGTGCAATATGTGTGTAATCCATTACTTTGCTTACTGTGATTGCTTCTATTGATAATCTTAACTCGTTTTACCCCTCAGCTGTTGAAAATCAGGCCATCAGAGCCAGATCAGGAATATGTTGAGATGACGTTTGTGGAGCATCAGACATGTGAATGTAGGTAAGAAAACCAGTCCTAATTTGGGATATGAAAAATTCAATAGCACGCAACCCTGTCTCCTAGAAATTAAGTTTATATACTACTAATTTACAACAGCAAAGTAATGTTAAATTTTTTTGTCAGTATTGTGAGGAAACGTTTCTAATAAATGGATGTGCCGAGTCAAAATGTTCCCACCAAACATATTTGCAAAAGGTTCTCATAATATTTCATTTGTTGACAACACAATATTAACTAAGGCATGATTCATGTTTTTCATGGTTAGGTTTATGCAACAAAATCCTTTTGGTTAGAGAGGTTGGGGAAAGATTGTGGTCAAATATTGAAAATGTCATAGTCAAATACTTTATACTTTATTAGCATTTAACAAAAACCACAGTCTTTCCCCAACTTTATAAAATGTGCTTTGTCACCTAAAGCTAACCACATGACAGATGTGAACAGCAGTCCCCGGGTTCACCATCTACCCCGACCTCCTTCATATAACTTGTGTGTGTGGTACAAAAACGCAGTACTTCCTTTACAAGAAAAATGTAAAAACATAACCCAGCAATTATGTTTCTCTCAAATCATATTTGGTAAAACAAATTAGTTTTTTTATAAATGTAATTTCTAAGAGACAGTGTTGGCAAATACTTACAATGAATGTTTAATGATACTGCACCAGGATGTTCTTTCTAATTTACTGAAACATTTGCTCCTCAGAATCAGGAAACCTATTGTGAAGGTTGAAAGGTAAGAACATGCATATATTGTTATAACATCAGTTTTGAGATTGTTGAAAACAATGAAAATCTCAAATTGGTAATTTGGTTCCTCTTGTAGGAAAAGACAAAGAGGGAGAGGACGGAAGAAAAAGGAGAGACAAAAAACGAAAGAATGTGAAAGGTGATGGCACAATCTTGGGAGACCGAATTTATGTACTCCTCCGGCTATCAGTTTACAGCATTGACAATGCATTGTTCTTTCTCGTGTTTGTCAGGTGCCAGATCCCTCGCAGGTAACTGCAGTGGCGACCCAACCCCGCACCTGCAGTGTGGCTCACTATTTATTTCCAGACTCGAACAGCTGGGTTTATTTTGCTGACATGCCATCCTGCTGACGGGCAGAGTGTTTGTAATGACAAGCTTCAACAGGAAGTGTGTTTTGATTGGTGGAAACACTGCTGTTACACACCTGACACAATGGACATGCCTGGGAGCCAGTGCAATGTAGAACCAAACCGACCAATGCCTTCTCTTTTCTACAAGTTATTACTGTATCAGATATTGTAATTTGTCATTTTCTCTGTATTTAAGGATGGTTACACTTGTTTAAAATCTATATTTATTGATACAACTGAATATATTTGGACCAGCAACCTTTTAAAAAGTTTGTCATTCTTTGTTCAAACATTATCCAAGAAGCCTTGACTTGACATAGCAGGAAATGTTGGACTGAGTGTGCAGCTGCTATGTACATGCAATAATGAAATGTCTCCCTCTACTGTTTGATGTGTTTTACTGTCAATTCAGGCCTAAATAAAAACAATATTGATCAGAAACCTTAAGCAATTAAGACACATCCACACAAGACTTTGTATACTATAAATGTCTGGTATATAAAATTGTCAGAAATCTAAATTGTTCTTTGGAATATGAAGTATCTCTCTTTCTCTGCTGTTCTGGAGGGTTGGATACAATGTGAATTACATATGTTTAATTAATGAATGTGAAAACTAATCTTAAAAAAGCAACAGATTAAATGGCAACATCAGTTTATGTCAAATCGCACCAGTAAGTGTGTAACAGGCTGCAAAGGGGACGAGGCAAGCCCAGTAAGTATGGGCAGATCAATACTACAATAACCAATACACTCAAGCAGTACTCATTTGGTATTGATGCCTATTAAAGAATATCAATTATAATGATAGTTTTCTCGTTTTAATGTGATTGCAAGGTCTTGTCAGATATAATTGCATTTCTTTTCTTTGTGCAGTTGAACAGCTCACATTTGTGTCCATCTTGGTGACACAGGACTCTCACAAGCCTCTGCCACAAAGTGTTTTCCTTTGTTTGTTTTTGGAAACACTGCAGTAAGGAAGGGATCAATTGAAGTAGTTAAGTAAAATTATGTCCTTTTGTACTGTTTTCTTTTTCAGGTAGGCTACTACACAAAGAAAATCTCTATGAAAATGTAAAAAGTAACATTTCTAGTGTGTTAGTATTTTTATTTCGTTTAAATATTTATTTTTTATTAAATTGTTATGGTTGTCAGTTTGTGTTTTTAATGTTTTTAATTAAATGCCCTACAGACTATAACATAACGTAGCCTACCAATGAGTATAATAATTTCAAATTAATTGTTGACATGCAAATGTTTTCACATTCTCACAAAAGAGTAGCCTTCTGTGATATCGATTAAAAAACGTCTATCAGTAAAGGTTTAAAATGTTTTATTCACTCCATTGTGTAGAGCCCGAAATGCCATATAAGCCTGTACTGGCCTTACACACAGAAAAACAAGCACTACTCTTTCCCGTCTTCCTGGCAACCTCTGTTCCCAGTGTACCAATGAGTAGTTCAGAAAACATCTCAGTAAATATTAGCTACATGTCCCAGACTCCGAGGCCTGGAAGGACAAGAATAATACAAATAGGCCAACATGGAGAATATGGTATAACCACGTGTTTTATACAGTATGAAACTATGGAGATGCATCTGTAGAAATTGTATTCAAACCACCTCCAAATGTGGCTTGGATCCTGTTTACAAAAAGTTGCATTTCGCGTGTTTTTCGCTGTCCAAATCAATATGCCAAAACACGTGTTTCGGGCAGTCTGGTCCCACACCACTGTTTTAGGGGGAGGTCCCCTAACAATCTCTCCCCAAAGACAAAAATAAACTAAGGGTGTCAGCTGGTACCAGAAAATGTTAGGATATATACACTGCTCAAAAAAATAAAGGGAACACTTAAACAACACAATGTAACTCCAAGTCAATCACACTCCTGTGAACTTAGGAAGCAACACTGATTGACAATCAATTTCACATACTGTTGTGTAAATGGAATAGACAACAGGTGGAAATTACAGGCAAATAGCAAGACACAAGAAGTGGTTCTGCAGGTGGTGACCACAGACCACTTCTCAGTTTCTATGCTTCCTGGCTGATGTTTTGGTCACTTTTGAATGCTGGCGGTGCTTTCACTCTAGTGGTAGCATGAGACGGAGTCTACAACCCTCACAAGTGGCTCAGGTAGTGCAGCTCATCCAGGATGGCACATCAATGCGAGCTGTGGCAAGAAGGTTTGCTGTGTCTGTCTGCGTAGTGTCCAGAGCATGGAGGCGCTACCAGGAGACAGGCCAGTACATCAGGAGACGTGGAGGAGGCCGTAGGAGGGCAACAACCCAGCAGCAGGACCGCTACCTCCGCCTTTGTGCAAGGAGGAGCAGGAGGAGCACTGCCAGAGCCCTGCAAAATGACCTCCAGCAGGCCACAAATGTGCATGTGTCTGCTCAAACGGTCAGAAACAGACTCCATGAGGGTGGTATGAGGGCCCGACGTCCACAGGTGCAGCACCGTGCAGGACGTTTGGCATTTGCCAGAGAACACCAAGATTGGCAAATTTGCCACTGCTCTTCACAGATGAAAGCAGGTTCACACTGAGCACATGTGACAGACGTGACAGAGTCTGGAGACGCTGTGGAGAACGTTCTGCTGCCTGCAAAATCCTCCAGCCTGACCAGTTTGGCGGTGGGTCAGTAATGGTGTGGGGTGGCATTTCTTTGGGGGGCCGCAACAGCCCTCCATGTGCTCGCCAGAGGTAGCCTGACTGCCATTAGGTACCGAGATGAGATCCTCAGACCCCTTGTGAGACCATATGCTGGTGCGGTTGGCCCTGGGTTCCTCCTAATGCAAGACAATGCTAGACCTCATGTGGCTGGAGTGTGCCAGCAGTTCCTGCAAGAGGAAGGCATTGATGCAATGGACTGGCCCGCCCGTTCCCCAGACCTGAATCCAATTGAGCACATCTGGGACATCATGTCTCGCTCCATCCACCAACGCCACGTTGCACCACAGAATGTCCAGGAGTTGGCGGATGGCTTATTCCAGGTCTGGAAGGAGATCCCTCAGGAGACCATCCGCCACCTCATCAGGAGCATGCCCAGGCGTTGTAGGGAGGTCATACAGGCACGTGGAGGCCACACACACTACTGAGCCTCATTTTGACTTGTTTTAAGGACATTACATCAAAGTTGTATTGGCTTGTAATGTGGTTTTCCACTTTGATTTTGAGTGTGACTCCAAATCCAGACCTCCATGGGTTGATAAATTTGATTTCCATTGATAAGTTTTGTGTGATTTTGTTGTCAGCACATTCAACTATGTAAAGAAAGGAGTATTTAATTAGATTATTTCATTCATTCAGATCTAGGATGTGTTATTTTAGTGTTCCCTTTATTTTTTTTAGCAGTATATATATATATATATATATATATATCAGAGAGAAAGGGTATGGTGGAAGAATTAAATCGATTTGGGCTAACAGGAGCAAGATTAATAAGACAAACCTGACACTGTGGTAGGTCAGTCCAGTAGATGGCAGCAATAATGCCAGCTGCTGTAAAAGCTAAAAGAAGAAGTAGAGGAAGCAAGACCAGAGTCGAGTAACTTACTACTGTAGGGAAAGTGTAACCTTGGATGTCACTCTAAACGGATGTTTGTTTCCAAGCAAAGGGCGTATTGGTAAGGTTTGCAAAAACTATCAGCCAATTAGCTTATAAATAGCAAATAGTCCCATGATGGGCTGGTGGCCAAGGTGCAGCTACGGTGGCTAGCTAGCGTCACGTAGCTAACGTTAACAGAGCTAAGTTAACAGCAGCAGTGCAGGGCAGCAAACCGTAATAATAATAATAATAATAAACTAAGATTTTGTTAATTGCAGTAAAGTATTAGTCTAAACAAGTTAGCCAATGTATGCCAAATATTGGCAAGTTAACTGTCGCTTACAGTAACGTAATGTTGACAAAGCTGTGTGTGTAAACAACAACAATACTAACGTTAGCTGTAACGTTATTAAGAAGTTATAGCCTAATTATTGGAAAGTTAAGACTCACAGCTTATGATATGTACAGTTTGCCTTGATGTCTTTTTTCCCATTAACGTTACAATACTGTGTGCAGAAAGCATTTCTTACAATATTAGCTCTGTAATCAGACTGGCAGTGTGGGGGGTGACAGGCCCCATATTAAAACGTCAAGCTCAGTTCAATAAATGGGCACAACTTTTATAACAATTTAATCTAATATTCCGTAGTTAAGTGTTATGACGTGGTAAACGTACAGTCCAACACAATAATATCCTGTTTTGTAGAGGTGTGCATAAGCTTTTCTGTGGCGAGGTCGACAAAATTTTAGAGCTCAATGATGTTTAGTACAATAAAGACTTAAAACGGACTGCACACTTGAGTCATTAAATAAACAGTTTAAAGTAGCACTCTATAGCAGGGCTATTGTGTCAACTTGCATTACATGAAACCGTTGTAAATGATTTTCTGGCCCTGGGTGTGGAGAGTAGACTGATCAGGGAGATGGTACTGTCCTACTGACCCATCAGCACTAAGTTACTTGTCGATAAAATTGTGTAAGCAAAAATAAATAGGTGTCACATTGTGGAAAAATGTCAAATTCAAATTCTAACTGCATTGATCTTGTTCAGTCACCTTTCAACTCTTGACTCTCTATTTTTCCAGAAGAGATAAGCATGAGCAGTTTTAGTAGACCCGGCAGACACAGGACACCACCATTCACCAGGGCAACACACATTGGAGTGTCCAAGTCTGACCTGGAGAGAGATTCAGGCTTCTCAGGTTTGATTTAATTATGTTGCTCTACAGCTATACATCTTTAAGTCTGTTATTATCCCAAATGTACCTTTTTATTTTGACACTGTAGTGTCGCCTGTGTGACGAGTGTTGTGAATTGGGTGTACCTCCATATAATTAGCATTTCCATGATTAGAAATTTGTCATAAACAAGTTCAACCCTAATCAAATCTAGAGATCTAGGTCACATTTTCTATGTAGGCTATCCTCTATTGGGTCAATATTTATTTACACTCTGAAGGCTGACCTGGATTTGGTTTTACCCTCCTCATCAGGTTGATGGTATCTATTTCCAGACGCTCTGGAGACGCTTATCTACATCTGCCACTGTTTTTATTGTACTAATGTTCTGCCTCAGGAACTGTATACAATAGGAAAGTAAATATGTTGCTTTTTTCAACATGATGAGACTCATATGCTTGTTCTGCCCTCCTCAGATGCCAGTTCTGAGTACTTCAGCACAGTCGATCTGACTGACTCTGAAGATGCAGGAAGGAATAGGTCGATAGTTGGCGAGTCGATAGCCGGCCAGGACTTGACTGGAGGCTCATATGCTGGACTGTCTCCAATGATCATCATGAATAACTTTGTCTTAAAGCAGGTAAAGTACAACAATGTATGCCGGCCTCTGCCTAGCACTGTTTATTTAATTTCTCTCGCTTTTTTGACTCTTAACTCTTGTTTTACACTATTAAGCCTGAAATTTCTGTCTTTTTCCTCTGAAATTTGATTGAAACCAGGGAAAGCAGTTTCTAGTGTGAAACATAGCTAAAGCCTCAGCTTAACAGTTGCATCACAGCAACATACATCTTCCTTAAATCTGCTCTGTCACTGTGTTGTTAGCCGAAAGGGCTTATACAGATTTTTCTCTCAATTTATTAGAGATGGTTTACAAGCTGAGCTACCGGCTGACATTCCCTACATTTCTTTGTTTGGTGCACTAATTTTATATATATTGTCAATTAAGTGTTAAATTACATTTGGCTGAAAAATCTTCATGTACATTTTAGCTTTTTAGTAGTTGTAATTCTGTTTTTTTTAATAGAAAATACTTACTGTACTTATTGTACTTATATCGCACTGTTTATACTGTATTATAGTTTTTTTTTCGGATATAGTGTGATATTAAAATTTTTCTTTTCTCTAGCCACCCCTGATGGCTCAAGCAGAAAAACAGTGGGGCTTTCCTTCATCTTTAGAAGTGATGCCTCAATCACAGGTTGTTCTTCTTCAACCCATGGTATCAAATGGTAGCAGCAGCTCTGACAATATCCGACAATCAAAAAGCTACATGCCCATCCTCAAGTCATACCCCAGAATTGCCCCACACCCTGCAGAAGCACCCACTAAGAGGACGGGATCGTCCAGGGCGAGAGTTAGTTCAACGTTGGGATATAACCAGCAACAGAAGAGGCACCACCAAGGCCTAAAGCTTTACAGCTCCCCCAGCCCGCAGCCAGCACCTCCGACTCTCAAACCCATCTCCAACTTTGCAGCAGCAGACAACCAGTCACAAACAGCAGAAAGTCAGGCGCAACTCAGTGACAAGTCTCTCTCCTCGCTGGCAGGGACCACCTCTCTGCCCCCCTACACAGATAAATTCAGGATAGAGATTGACAGCGACAGGATGCATGCTGACCAATACCAGGACTCCTTCTCAATTGACAATAACAAATTGAAACGTTTCAGCAATACCTACAACATTCTCAATAAATCTGGCTTGCTGGGGATCACGTTGCGCACAAAGCAGCTGATCAAGGAGAATAAACGCACCCAAGGCCAGCTGCAGCAGCTTCAGGAGCAAACGGCCCTGCTGCTGGAGGCTCTGAGCAGCGGAGACCCGCAGCTCTGGACTAAACTGCAGCTCTCTCTGCAGCACACAGACAAGGAGCAATGGGGAGCTAAAGCTCCTCAGAGAGTCCTGGCATAATGTATTCAGTGGACATGACCAGCAGTTCTCAATCAGAGGTTCACAAGATGATTTATTAAATGTGAAATCATATCTCAAATCTTAACAATAAACACTTTCACAGCATCTGGCATCTTAACTTAACAAACTAAAACTTCTAACTAACCTAAACCATATACTTTCACACTTCTGTCAGGAGGTTGCTATACAGATCATCTTAAATTTGCACGCTGCAGAGCCAGAAACATTCAGAACTGCTGGTCAAATATGAAGTTGACACCTACACACCTACTAATACCAAGTTGAGAAGCAAGCTTACATTTCAAACCCTCGCCTATAATGAATTTTCTTGTCTCTCCTCCTTCAAAATGTCAAGTATCACTTGTAACAGGGCTATGGATTCTATATGTTGAAATCCTGAATCCATAATAGCCATGCCTTACTGCACATGTGAGGACACATGGGTTTAATTCCTTACACATGCCTTGAATGTGATTACTGTAGAGGAAATATAAGCATCATTTTTACTTTTTAAATCAAGTAGGAAACATGGTGTGGATACCTCTGGCCTGTGTTTCAGTTTTCTTCTTCGCAGAGAAGGGCCTTGAATCAATAGGGCACTCTCTTGTCTCTTTTTTAAAACATTTTCTTTGTTTTTAAATTGGATGGTAAATGAAAATGAATGAGCCCATGCCTCCTTAGTGAGCAAATGTACGTACTAAACGCTTGTATTCTCAAACAACAGCTGGATAGCACACAGTGAATTCAGAAGGCTGGCAAAACCATTACCATTGTTTTCTGTTTGTTTTATATTTGTGCTGCTTGGTGTCAGTATTATTTATTTTTAATTATGTTTCTCACCGAGACTAAAGCTGTGTGAATAATATAATCAAACTAAGCACATTATGATGAGGTTTCCAGTTCACTGGCAAAGCAAGCGCCTTTTTTCAAAAGATACCTTAAAGAACTGCGTAGGAATTTGCAAAGGTTTCAACTGTAGCAAGTGAAGTGCTGTAGCCATGCATTTTTCTCTCGACTTTGCATATGTTGCTGCCATGTTCATTCCTGCTGCTTAAGCTCAGTGTGATGTGTTATTAATTGAAACTCCAAGGCAAAGAAATGACAGCTAAATGGCTTCTTTTAGTTTGATATTACGGACTCTTGCACTTTAGTTATACGATTACTGACAACATTTCTAGACAAATGTTACGACATGTATCCCTAAGTGAGCACTCTGTGTTGATAAAACATTGAGAGTATAAATGTACCTGGATGCCAGTGCCTTCTTTGAATATGTTTGTACTTCAGATCAATTATTGAGCAGCGTAGATTGTGAGCTTCATGTGGAAGAAAGTTGAATGTACTACTCCAAAGAATTAATATTCTTCTCTGAATCGAAAAACAAACCGTGCCCTGGTTAGGTAATACATCCAGAGTTGCAGTAGAAAGAATAGCATGAAGACAAGTCATAAATGGTTCAGTTTTAATGTTAAGTTGAGGATAACTGTTAACTGTATTTATTTTTAACAATGCACTACTGTTGCAATATTTTCTAATTGTGATTAATTAATTGTAAAACTAAGAAATAATCGAGTCAGTCTTGAGGTTTTAAGAGTGCAAAAGGAGGGGTACAAAATGTATTTAAAGATTGCTTTTCAGAGATTGCTTTTTTTCTGTAATTGTGAAAAGTGCTTTGTATTGTTACTTTAGCAGGTCACTGACTAATAATGAACTCTCATAAAACTCTGTTTGAAGACCATTTCCTCTCAGTCATTTATTTTATTTTATAGCTCAGTGTGTAGTTTAAAAACAAATTATGGCTGCTTGTTGTGATTTGAATACTTTTATTGGTATAACAGGAATAGACAAAATAGCTTTAAAAAGTATATTTATTGAAATCCAAAACATCTCTGTCATGATGTTGAATATGTCAGTGGTTGTAGCCACAGCATACCAGTGAAAAGTCATTATTATTATTATTATACATAGGGCCCTATCATTAGCATTGTGGTGAGTCCCTCATCTTGGGGGTCATTTGTAAGCACAAGTTTATGGCACATTGTGAATAATACCCTGGATAATAATATGGTAATCATCTTCACATTCCCCCCATCCATTCTTATAAAGGAGCATATTACTGCGCCTCCATCAAATTGTGAGTCACATTCATTTGAATAGAAAACATCAGGCTCAACATGTAACAAGTTATTGTCAGAACAATGTTTTCAAGCCTGGCAGTTTAATAATAACACTGACTGTAGATTCCTTGTCTGCTAGCCCTTATTGTTACAAAAAAGAACTTAAGTTTCCTGAATGTCACATTGTAGCATCCTACAAGGAAGTGTGGAAGAACAACACACTTGATTGGTAATCTCGGAGCTCCGCATGTTGCAGGCATTCAAACCAATAGCATAAAATAAAAACGCAAAACTGTGAATGCATGCACTTATGCCAAGCCATCTTTCTATTTTGATGTAAGCATGTAGCATGTGAGTGTAAAACTGCTGGATGTCCCAAACAACAAACTTATTACTCTTATATTGCCTTGTCAAAAGCTACTTACTTAAGGGATACACTTACACTATTCACTTATTAAAAGGTTTCACACAGATATATGGCTCCTGTCCTTAAAGGAATGTGTGCTAACAGCTAACTATTTCATGGACTACTTCAAAGGTCATAAAGCATCCATTTAGTATTTCAAATCAATCACCATATGGATCCCAAGACAGCATTTTCTACAACTTGTGACCTATTTGGAGCTATTGATATGACTTGTGATTATCACTCAGTCTTGTTTATGTGCATCTGTGTCTTCAGGACACATCTCCACTGTCTGCACAGGCAGGATAAGGCCAAGGATCCAGCGAGTACCAAAAACATCCTTAAGGTTGGTTCTCCAGGGGCTGCGGTTCTCCACGAGCTGCCCCCTCTGCATCTGACACCAGGTCTGTCCCCGGGCCACCAGCAGCACCTGCTGGCAGCAGAAGCCTGCACAGACCAGGCCGATGCCCAGCCACACATAGAGCATCAGCACCAGGAACAACTGCAAGCCTGAGATTGTTCCTGTCGGGAGACATTAACAAGGACACATTTAACTACTAAGTCAACGTGTCTTGAATACACGGTTTAATTAAACAACTCACCCATGAAGAAGTAGCCAGTGGAGAGGGGGAGAAGAGTCAAGAAGGTCAGCGGGTTCTCAAAGGAGATGGAGTACTCCACTGTTAAAAAGGCAACACCAAGAACCAAGGAGTACAAACAAGTGCATGATGTATAGATGCAGAACATGAGGAAGTAGCGCATGTTTTTGTTGCCAATGCAGTTTCCAGTGAAAAAGCAGTGGTGATCCCTCTTGAGAATGACCTTCTTACACAGTTTGCAGAAGTGGCGGCCGTTTAGGAGGTAATGTGCGTCCACTTTGTCCGAGCAGTGTGGCGAACACACCGGCACCACAGTCTCGTTGGCGCTTTCAGCCGGATACTTGATAGTCATTATGTAATTCCCCAGTGCGTTGAACATCAAGAAAAGGAAAACCACTGTGTGAAGAGTTGCAGACCCCCTCAGCGATGTGTCCGGGTTTGGGAAGATCGTCGGGATGAAGAAGCAGAAGTGCAAAATGAAGGTGACTGCTGTAGCCATGAAGAAGTATGCAGGCGCTACAGCATTGAGAAGTCTCAGTTTTAACATCCTGGTGAACATATCTGAGTGAGAGTGAAGACACAGAGAGCAGAGTATAATCAAAAACCTTTTGACAGCTGCTGGAGACTCTGGGAAATGATTATGTGACAGCAGTTTGCCATGAAATAAATGTCCTTTCGAGAGGTTTACAATGGAAAATGTTAAAATTTATTCGGTCTTGTCTAGGTCAACAAAAGATTTAATTAACCCAGACTGACCGTGATGTCATTAAAATAAGCAATCATCATTAACATTAATACTAATATTTCAGAACATATAGTATCACCTAATAGCAAATAATTTCAAAATGTTGTATATTGTATGTATATTTTGATATACTGTATCCTCTTTTTATTATGGCTCTTATAAGTTACTTTCAGATGCAAATAATATTAATTCCTTTGCACTATTTGTGTTTATCTACAACTGACAAAAAAATTGTTTATAGACATTTTTTTGTAATATATATATTCACACATACATCATTTTTTTAACCTACTTAAATGTAGTTAGTAGTTCTATGTTCATTTTAACCAATATTTATTGTCCTAGTTTAGCTTTTTGTTTTTCTATCTTCCTGTAAATTGTTCTGTGTACACTGAGAGCAACTTAAAACCAGAGTAAAATTCCTTGTGTGTGTACACATTTCAGTGCCAAAAAAGCTGACTTTGAAATAAGATTAGATGAAAAAACACAACCAAGGATATGATTTGGTTTAAGGACTATTAATATTAAGATTCTTGGTGAAAGTAACACACCTCCTATTAGGCAAGATAGATCATAACGAGAGTGTGATCTCATTTAATAAAGAGGATGTACGTCTGCTGCTGCTGAGGAAAACTAATTTCTCTGCAAAGTAGGGTCTGGGGACTCTCAGGGGCCATTGAGAATACCAGGAATATCTCACCCTTTTCATTGTGATCTCCTAACTTACTGCATGAACAGATGTCCAAACCACAGAGAATCAGACCAAAGCAGGAAGGAGCTCCCACAGACTAAATTTCAAATGGGTCGTTATGCTCTTAAGTGAAAATCTCTATCAACGAATGCCCTAGATGACAGAAAGAATTAACATCCCAATCAAGGACTATCGCAGTTTCCTCTCCTGTTTTCTTCAGGAAACTGATTACACCGATGGCCTCAATCATTCAATTCCCATGACGACGCAATTAAAACAATTATCTTGTAAATCCATCGTCATCGTGTCCAGGCTGCCTACCTGCAGATGTAAGAGAGCGGAGGAGCTGTCCTTTCAGCACACCGGAGCCTCGGCTCAGTGCTCAGCACGTTCATTCAAACGCACGGAATGTGTTGTTGCAATATCGACGTCGACTTTCATTATTGGGGTGTCTGTTCCTTTGTCTACCGCCGCCTGTTGGTCTGGATGCGTCTGTTTCCCCCTGTGTTTTTAAAAAAAATTATTTTTACTTTTCCTTCCTTTACATGTGTTGAATAATTTACTCACCTTTAGGCAGACCGCATCCACATAGATAGGCTATATGAACATAAATTGACGTTTTTAAAATCGAATTAATTTTTCTGTCACAGCGTTTCGCTTAGGCTATTGTTTTTGTCTTATATTTGAAATACTCTTAACTTTTATATTGACCTCTAATAGCACGTGTAGAGTTTTTACAATATTTTGAACATTAATGAAATTTGATTGTTTACAGTGAAGGATGAGGTGGTATTCAGATAATTTATTCAAGTAAAATAGCACTGTAACACTGTAAAAGGACCTCATTACAAGTAAAAGTGTCACTTAAGTAAATTTGAAGAGCACACGTTTTCTGACCTTTATGGTAAATACATTGTAAATACATTGAAATGGGCCCAGGTCTTTCTTAAGACAAGTGTTGCAGTATGAAAGTCTTACCTGAAGAGAGGCTATGAAATCTTAATTGTAGGCGATGCGAGCATACCACATAGGCTATGGAACAGGCTACAATACAATTTATCAAATTGCATCGGATTTGGTGATCAGCGCGAGGATACACACATGACTTCGTCTGGTTTTCAAAAAAGGTGTTAGAACAAAGTATATATGCTACCACCACATAATTGCCTAATTGGATTATATTCACAGGAAGTAAGCTACTTGCACCAGTACCGTGAACTACTTCAACTATGTAGTTTGAGAGAACAAACTACAAGTTTTTGTCTTTAACTTCCATAAGTAGTTAGTTAGCAGATTCAAATTGTTAATATAAAAAAATATATATATATATTTTTTAAAATATATATATATATTTTTTTAATTATTATTATTTATTTTTAAAAAATATATATTTTATATATATATAATAAATGATTACACTTTTATAGATTTTTTAAAAATATATTATGAGGCAAATACTTTGGTACTGGTTTCGAATGCAGGACTTTTACTTGTCACAGTATTTTTACACTGTGGTATTGCTACTTTTACTTAAGTAAAAGATCTGAATACTTCCTCCACCACCGCACAAATCTCAAACTTCATCAGTAGGTCTTTTGTTCTTGTGTACACAAGAGTGTTTTCTAGTGATATAAGTCTTAGCCCACAGTGAGCATATAAGGCCATCAAATTCAGAAGTGGAGTGTCTATCAGCCACCAGATATGGAACATTGGGACTGTGGTCCCCAAACTGGGAGAGTGACTCCTGCAAAGGAACAACACCCGAGGTATCTGTCCAGAAGACTGCAGTCCCAAGACCAGCTAAAATACATTGCAGAACCCTCAGACTTGAAGGCCTCTAGCAGAGGACCTGTTAGAGGTGGTGAACAACAGACCATATAGTTTTATGTTTTCATAAAGTCTCAATTATATAAGAATTTCTTTCTAAACACAATTGTGTTGTTTTTAAACAGGAATTCCGAATAAGTTCACAATACTCAATATTTGTGGAAACTAATAACCTAAAACTTTTTAAGTAGTGGTAATAATATTTGAGTAAACCTCAACTTAAATACTTAAATTTTTTTAAATCTTTAATTTCTGCCTACTAATTTACATTGATTTACTGTTGCTTATTAAAATTAAATTCCTGTAATTCTTTACTCAACAAAACGTAATTGTGCACAACTTATACTCTACTC